CTCAATGGTCCATTTGTTAATGAATAAGAGCTCTCACTTATTAAAAAGTACTATTGTAATCCCATGTTATTTTGAGCTGTTGATGTACCGTGATAATGCTATGTATTTATATGACCATGTCATAAAACAACCATTTGCATCATGGCCATGATGAACACCCTACCACAACCCTGGTCTTAAACGTATATCTTTTCTTCCTTTTTATCTGTCTCTCTTTGCCTCTTTCATATAGAGGATGCAGTTCAACAGAATTGTTGATTTGCTTTGTGAGCCCCCAGCTGATTTTGAAGCTTGACTAAATTATGCTGGTACATTGTTTAGCTGTTTGCTGAGTTAATGTTGTTGTTGATTCAGTAGTCAGTTGTTAATTGTTATATGGTGATTGCTGATTGTCATCATTATTGAGGTCTGTGTTTGTCTATATAAAACTATTGCACACTGTTTTGCTTTGCAGGATGTTCTCCTCTTCAGAGGAGTTCTCTTTTGCGAGTTCCCTTTATACTTTACATTATATATATTCATAAAGAATGGACTGAAAAATGAATGCTTATTTTGGTGTATATATAATACACACACACACACACACAACCTTGTATCAAAAATTGGGAATAATTATGATTTTAAAAAATGTTTTTAAAAGATGTATCTTATGCTCACCAAGACTATAATTACATTATATATAATGTATATATAAAATGGAATTTATTTCTGTGATGGCACAGCAGAATTATTGTTATTATTATCAATGTTGTTGACTACAGATTTGGCTGCTTAATATTTTTGTGGAAACCATGGTACATTTTTTCAGGATTCTTTAATGAAAAATAAAGTTCAAAAGAACAGCATTTATTTAAAATCTTTGGTAAAATTATGTATGTCTTTACAGCCACTTTCAATTCAATTAACGTATCCTTGCTGAATAAAAGACTTACGGTAATTTCTATATTCTGTCTTACCCCAAACTTTTGAATTGTACTGGATCATGGTTTCCACAAAAATATTAAGGAGCAAAAACTGTTTTCAGCATTGATAATAATAAGACATGTTTCTTAAGCACCAAATCAGCATTTCAGAAGGATCATGTGACACTGAAGTCTGGTGTAATGGCTGCTGAAAATTCAGATTTAAAATATAAAACATTTGTTTTGAATTGTAATAATATGTCACAATATTACTGTCTTTACTGTATTTAATTGTATTCTACTGTATTGTATTTTATACTATATTGTATGCTTTTATATGATGTCATCTGTACTTGGTAACGTGGACAAAGTTCTTTGTGATGGAATATTGCCATGTCTCTAGCATTTACAGTAGTGTTTGTTGGGTAAAAAACTCCAGGAAGCTCCAGAAAAACTTTCTTGGCTATAGTAGCAGAATGAAGAAAACAAATCTTTCTTAAACATGAGTTGGACTGATGTCACAGGTGATTGCCAGCTCTGTGGCACCTACAATTAATCTTTGTTGCTGTTAACCACTACTTTTCCTGTTTGCTTAAGATTTGTCCCTAGACGGTTAGCGCTGTCATTTTCTCTGGCCTTCACTCCATGAGTTAGCTACTGGTAATCACGTTACCACTTCCATCATCATGCTTACATGCGAAGGCTATTATTTTCATAGCCATTAATTAGTGTTATGCTGTGTTTAGAAATCCCTGTTGTCAAAAAATTGACTTAAGCCATCTCATGGGGGTTAGCTTATATGGAAAGTGTGACTACGCTGGAGTTTGTGTGTTCTCAGAGGCCGTAATCTGCTTTAGCAGCTTGTTCGAATGCATCCCAAACTGTACTGATATACTGTAGTTGCTTTTGTGTTTGCCAGTATGTGGATTTAGGTGAAATTGTGATATGTCAGGGTTCAGATTTAAAGCTTGATAGAGCTTGAAATATGTGAACCAAAGATGACGCAGCAGTGCTTTTTTAAGAGCTCTTTTGACTTGCACTAACAACAAAGTAGCAAAAACTAGCATGTTTTGCAAAGTGCCATGGTGCGAGAAACTGCTAATCATTTAGTGACATATTTCAAAGTATCATGTTGTTATTTTTGATGCCACCATTGCATTATGGTACCTCTGCAATTCTCTTTTGTAAGGATGGGATCTGTTTTCATCAAATTTACTCTTTTAAGAGCATGGAAATCTTCCATCCAGGCTGAACAGACTTGAACTACCACCTATTGCATACTGAATTACATCCCTTAAGTATATTGTTCATAGCAAAACAGTTATTTTTTATGCCTAAAATAGCGTAAACAACCTAACCACTAATTACATAAAATCTTAATTGCTTCAAACCTGTCTCAAGAGCTCTTTGACTATAAACATATTATTAATCTATCCACCCTGAAAGGCAAAACTGCTGGATTGCTTCTGTAGCATTATAAAGACCCGCATACCATACTCTACCAGAAGATCCTGATTATGTAATAGTCCACTTAATGCAATCATAATGGTAAATGCAAAAAAATCTAAGCCTGATTCATATCAGAATTGTTCTGCTAGAGACACATGATTTGAGAGTTGTCAGCATGTTAAGTTTCAAGGTATAAACAGTATAAGGAAAATGCCCTTAACTGATAATTTTGTTACTTTGTTAGGCCACTCTGATATTGTATAAGCTGCAAAAATATGTTATTGGTAGTGTTTCTTATTTTTGTTCTTTTGTACCTATTTCTTTTGGTTGCACCCTTTAGCTACCTGACCAAAAACATATATAATAATAATTATTATTTTTTTCTTTAATTTATAAATAAATTATATTGTATAATTATGTATTATATATTAATTTGCCTATATATTAAAAATAAATATATTAAAATATATAAGTTATAATATAAATACTTTATATTTTTTTATAAAAAATAATAATATTTTAAATATTAAATTCCATAAATTAAGATAACTTTTTATCAAGATAACAACAACAAGATACAAACTGGATAGTAGCAGTTCGAATTTTAAAAAGAGTCCTGCCCAAATGACTACAACATTCAGGTGTTCAAAAGGCCTGGATCAAGTCCATTTTCAGGTCTTGCCTTGACCTGTTTTATTCCCTTTACAGAGCAGATCTGTGAATAAGGCTGTCAGCTTCTGTTTTCACATTAGTCTTTAACTTTTTTTACCTCTGGGGATTTGTGTATTTAATATTTTGTATATTTTGTACATTTAATTACATGCACAACCCTGTGAAGCTTTTGAGTCATCACTTCATGTCTAGTTGAAGTGCACAAAGTAGAGCGACTAATTTCCTGATGTTCAATTTTGTATCTTTTCTGCGTCATTGTTTGTCTTTTTGTAGCACACTTCACTGACCGTCATCTCCGCTGTGAACTCCCTTTACAATTACTCCTCCTTAGTTATATTATTGACTGACTTGTTTTTTAATTAGACAAAAGGAACATTTGCTTAGATGGAATGAGTAAAGAACAGTGGAACATGTAAGGCAAAGAAAAAGTAGACACGTAAAGGCAATGTCTGGGAATTTTCTTTGATGGCTCTGAGAAATAGAGTCTCTCTGTCTTCTCGCTCTCAGCCAGACAGCAGCATTTGAGCCTGTGGATGTGTTAGGAAATGTTTAGTAAAGATCAATAATGCCATCCACCATGTTGGAGCTCCCTGTTGCTGCAGAGACTTGAGTGGATCAATGCCTGACTCAGAGCCCTGCAGGCCCCATAGCTGTGAGGCGGACATGCCCCTGCTACACAATCATGTGCTCATGACTATATGGGTATTTACTATAAATTTGGTTTGAGGATGTTTTGACTATTTAAATTATATGGGGACCGTGATTCATTTTACTCCAGAGAATATTTATTCAGTCTGGGATTATTTTTGAAAGTCAATTGCTGTATAGGCATTTAGGTTAAAGTCTTTGCTACAGAACAACAGCCACTGAAACCACCATCTGTGTACTAAAGGACTGTTGATTTAACACCCTTTAGGCATGTTGTCACAATGGGAACCTATTATTTATTGGTCTTGATTTGAAATATGATCTACAATGGCACTTTGATAAGTTAAAATATTATATACATATATATGTATACATACATACAGTGTTGGGGAAAGTTACGTTTAAAAGTAATGCATTACAATATTGCGTTACTTCCTAAAAAAGTAACTAATTACATTACTTAGTTACTTTTTATGGAAAGTAATGCATTACGTTACTTTTGCATTACTTTTTCTCTTCTGGCTTGGCCTCATTTTTCTCTATTCAGAGACAAAAAAGAAACATGTTATATTTGTATGGTTGATCATTGAAGGTCAGCAGCAAAGGTTACTGGTTAATAAAATGGAATTAAATACATAGAGGATATGTGTGTTATTTAACATGTTTGCGTCATGTCCTGAGTTTGCATTTGACTGTTTTTATTCATTTTGAGGAATACCGAATCTGTTTTTTGTGCAAGTGAGATGAGTAAATACATGTTGACATTTAGTCTAGAATGACAGTAACATCGTGTTCACATTCAGTCTGACATTAATACCCTTTTCCTGAGAACACAGTTTAACCTTAAACCCTGACTAAAATCTACCTTGATACCTTGGAAACTGAATTTTCGAACAGATTCATTGTGACATATTTGAACAATATTGACATGTATTGAACAAAATCTATCTATATAGATTTTTTTTTTTTCCTTTTTTTTTTTTTGGTGAATGTGCTTAATGCAAATGTTTTCTGTCTCTGATGTTGGTGATGCTGAAATAAATTTTGTATCAGCAGTCGGCAGTGTGATTCAATAATGTATTCAGTTCATTCTTTGATCTGAAATGTCATTTGACTTTGGACATGAGCCGTTTCAACATTGTCTCTTTACAAACATCCACCCACCTACATTCACACACACAGGCACACAGATACACACACCCACAGTTACAGCACATTTGTAAATTCATCAGATGCCATGTGTCTGTGTCTCTGAGGATGTGTGTTTTGGTGACAGTGTTTTTGAGCCATATCAAATCAGACAACTAACAACATCTCCCCACACCACAGGATTGAAAAAACGCACCAGGAAGGCCTTCGGGATACGGAAGAAAGAAAAGGACACTGACTCTACGTAAGTTTGACTAATTTATATACCAGAAATTTACCCCCAAAGGCTGATGTATCATATTTGATATGAAAATTTCTAAGGCCTCTAAAATATCAACATGATCAGAACCTGGCTGAAAAACCTGTTTTACACAGCCTTATGCCTTCTGACATCTTGATTGATAATTTATACTTTTTTAGCAAGTAAAATACCTTTTAGTATAATTCTAAAATCGTCCCCCTTCAGGTTATAGTACATGTCTCTTTTTGCTATTTAGTCTTTACTGATTTTTATAAGGTAAAAGTAAGAATAAATTATATATTTGTAGTAATATTTAAAGATGAACATTTAGGTTTACTTGCTTATAAATGTTTTTTTTTTAAATAATCATGTTAAAATGTAATCAAATATGATGCAACAGGCTTTTAAAAAACATTTATTTGTACATCTCTTGTCATCATTGCATTGCATTATATTTTGTCCTCCTTAATAAAAATACAGAAAATAATATTTATATACAATTTATGCCAGTAATATTAACATAGATCTCATGGTCATTATAAACTATTAGAATTATATCTTACTTTTTGGCCTTAAAAATTAAAGTAATTGCACTAAATTACATATTTTGCTTAATGTGGGGCTCTGAATAAAACTGATGTGTGTTTTTTTTCTCTTCACAATTATGACCTCCATATTCTCTTATAGCATGCTATGTGAGCTGTAAAGGCTTAACGTATTGAATATGATGCTCAACAAAAGCTCATATGCAACCTTTTTTAAGATTTTATTTTTAGATTTTGTCTAAAGGTTCAATTAACTGTTCCATTACAAAAAAATGAAAATGAACGTTTTTTGTCTATTATCTCATATGTCAGGCTTTACAGGATTAATGAATTTATAATAGTAGAGCTTCCTAAGGCAGGCCGATGGAGTTCTCTCACAAACCCATCAACACAATGGAGCATTTGCTGCTTGCACACTATGAATCCCTGTCTCCTGCTTCAGGGTGCTATAGATGATGGCTGTTTTGAGAGTGTATGTCTGTTTGGGGCCCAACACACAGGTGTTTCTGTCCCTCAGAGCGAAGCCTGGCTAATTGCTTCTGTGCTTGAGTTGAGAAAAAAAGAGAGGCTTGCATGTTAAGTGGGTATTAAAGACCTCTCTGTCTCTCTCTTTGTCGCTTTCTTTTGTTTTCTCTGTTTTTAGGGGGTCACCAGACAGAGATGGTGGAGTAAGTACCTCTTAACTTGTAGAATTGTTTCAAGAGACAGATTTCCTATTATTTGTATTTTGGAATTTGAATTTATGTTTGTTTTATTTATAGCTGCCAAAGTTAATGATTAACATGCAATTAATCAAATGTTTAACAATGTGTGTATTCAGTTCACTCCTTTCTTTGTGATTTCTGAGAAATTATGTATTGAAATACTCTGAGCTAATTGGAGCTAATTAGACACACGCACACACACACAAAAGACCCTAGCAGACCACCCATTTATCATTTATCACCCATTTGTAATGATGAAAGACATTTTGATGGGTAATTTATCTATAAAATAAGCCCAAATGAGATTTAACAAAAGTTGAGTCATTTGCATTCTTTGAATGATAAAAATTAATTATCATCGAAGATCAGTAAGTGAAATATTTACTCACAATGGTTTAGAAAAATTTCAATGCAAAACTGATCCCAAACATTTTGCTCTAGCATGTCACATTTTGTCACAGAATATAATGTGCATTTGATAGCATTTCTGCTTCCGACAGCCAAAACAACAAGTCTTGTGTTATCCCAGGGGTCCTCAACTCTGGCCCCCGAGGTCCACTTTCCTGCAGAGTTTAGCTCCAACCCTAATCAAACACACATGAGCAAGCTAATCAAGGTCTTCAGGATTGCTAGAAAGTTACAAGCAGGTGAGTTTGATCAAGGTTGGAGCTAAACTCTGCAAAAAAGTGGATCTCGAGGGCCAGAGTTGAGAACCTCTGTGTTATCCCTTAATCACCAGAAAAACTGCCACAAAGACATGATTCCTATCTTCCTCTAGCCAGATTATAACTATTTGTTCAATTCCCAGACGATTGTCACATGTATGAATGATTTTTAAAGGTCCCATATTGTCAAAACTGAAATTTCCTGGCTTTTTTCATGATAACTGAGGTCTAGGTGCTATGTAACTACCATATAAGTTTCAAAACAGTCAGTCCACAGTAAAATTCACACAGCCTGCTATATTGAGATGGTTTTTGGTACTTATACCGCAAATATATATTCTTAAGGACATCAAAACCTAAAATAAAACTCCAGAAAGGTGTAAAATATGGGACCTTTAAGGTTAGAATTATAGCCATTGACAAAAGAAAATGCAAAGATAACCCAGATGTTTTCTGCTACATCTGTTGGGCATTTTACTACATCCAGTCAGCAACAGAAAATTACAGATTTTGTGGAGAAAAAAGCATATTTATTTATAAACTAATAATTTAAGAAAAATCCTGCGAAAGAACAAAGTTTTGTTTTGACATTTTTTAACTCAGCATCATCAAATTAGGTAATGTTAGGCCTGTTTTGCAAATCAGTAAATCAGTATTTTTAAAGATGCAGGGTTGTGTAATAAGTGGCAATGTAAATAAGTTTTTTTCATGTGAAGCCTTTTTGGAAATATAAATAATCTGACATGGTGAAAAAGTTTAATAATTCAAATGATGTCTTTATTTTCTGTATGATGGATGTCCATGGCACAGGAGCCCCAAGAGACTGAATCGGTACTGAACATAGAGACAGCATAGTTATATAGCTTGAAGTCTAACGCTAGAACTGAATACTCACTAAGCACCTGTAGATTCCCCCAAGTGGCACCCCTAAATAGGCCAAACTCATATAATTAGAAATCAGTGAATCTGAGTGATGTTACTAAAGTTGTGTTTTGATTTGCTCAGCCACAGAAAAAGACCAATGGGGCTCCAAATGGCTTCTACGGGGAGATTGATTGGGACAGATATGTAAGTACATAATTTTTAATACCCTGATGATACTCAGCAAAGCATGACAGCTCAAGCCTGCTGCATTAATGGCTGTTTGTATAAAAAAAATACCATCCACTGCATCTGTAATACTGACTGACTTCAGTTATTTTCTTTTGCAGAACTCGCCTGAGGTAGATGAAGAAGGATATAGCATCAGACCAGATGAGGATGAGGGAGATATCCTTTAATTTTGCCATAAATTATTGTGATTACATTTTTGAATCTTTGATTTTATCAATAAGCAATGAAAATTGTATTATTTCATTTTTAACAATTATAATAATTTTTTGTGAAAGAAAATGAAGCTGTGATCCCTTAACAGCCCTCCACCAGCCCCCAAAGAAAAGTCTCACTTTTTCTCCTCCAGTGAGTCTGAAGAAGAGGAGGACCACCGCAAAAAGTTTAAGATCAAAATCAGACCGCTGCCAGCAGACCATAACATTGCAGCTCCCTCGGTGGATGAATTAAAAGCCTCCATTGGCAACATAGCTCTGTCTCCCTCGCCTCTGGTGAGTCCAGCCAATGTTTCCCATGCATTTCAAGCTTATGATGTTGTTTCCTGTCACTTTTCTTACTTTAATATCACATGACTCAATAGTCTCTGCTGTGTTATATATTTTGTATTTTATACTTATTTTGACATCCCTTACAAAAAGATATTGTGAAAGTACCATGAGGCTTATATATAGTGCTGGGCGATAAAACAATAATTATTGTGATATAATGTTCCACGATAAAACGATAACATGAGTTCAATAAATGTTCGGTATAATGTTTATGCGCCAAAAAGCTTAACAAAACAGTGCTACTATTTTAACTGAGCCACACGGACCATTTATCCGCTCTGCACAAAGTTCAAACGGCAGCGCAGCGCGAGCTCACTAGAGCAGATGCAATTATTCGCTGATAAGTCTCAGTCATGTGAGCACTAAACAGCGCTGTGAGATCCAGTGTGAAGCGCTTGAATTCAGCGAAGAGCACAAATGACTCGGTGATTTAAACTAGTTTAAAACTGGATGAAACAGTGCTGACAAACAGGAAAAACACTGTGCGCAACGGTATAGTCAGAAGGCTTTTCAATCTACAAATCACCATCGTTTACCATAGATTTACTGTAGTAACACTAGCTGCACCATGGTATTGTGGCAGAAATGTGGGTTGTTTATATCGAATTTTATTATATTATTAATGCAGACATGTATTAAAAGTATTAAAGGAGTAATGGAATATAATTACAGTATTTCTTGTGATTAAGCTATAGCATTTGTGTGCATTTATACTAAATGTATTTAGACTACTGTTTTAATACAAATACCTAGAAACCATATAATGTTCAAGCTCAAGTTCAAGTTCATTTTATTTGTAGAGCACATATACAACAGCCACCAGGCTGACCAAAGTGCTTTTCAGAAGAGCAACAATTTTACCACATACACAGCGAACAAACCAGACAAAAATTTAAAACCGCATGTTTAAAAATTACCATATCACAGTAGTCAATACACTAAGGAAAACACATACGTTTTTAGCAAGGACTTAAAAACAGACAAAGAAGGGGCCATTCTAATCTCTAAAGGTAGGGTATTCCAGAGTCGTGGCCCTGGCACTGCAAATGCACGCATAATCACATTTTTACCATGGTATTGAGGTGCTGTATGTGTTGTTTTAACCATGGTTATCATGATCTAAATGTATGCTACTATGAAAGACCAATGGTTAATTTTAATAAAACTCAAACAATCAGAATAATTACATTTCATCATATAAAAATCAGGTTGTTACAATATTTACAGATGTTACTGTTTTTGATAATGAACATAAATGAACATAGCCAACTCAAGCTACTGTCAAATGTGCATTTCTAAGAGACTATATATATATTATTAATATTGCAGCCTGCACTGCAAACTTTGTTGAAGATACACATCATCAAGGTCAGGCAACACAAATCTGTTTCATGATTTGAAACAATATCACTCATTAGAACATGCACAAACTAAGAAATTAATTTTTCTATTGAGATATTTATTTTAAGGAAAAATGACTGGAAAAGTGTAAAGAATTCAAAAACGTGAAGTGTTTGTAATGTTCTGACCATAAAGAGTAGTTTAAAACCAATTTGATATGGTTTTAAAATTTGATATGAAAAATTATATCGTGATAATTCTTTTGGCCATATCGCTCAGACCTTCTTATATATTATATGTAGATATATAGTATTCCATGGTACTTCTACAGTGAATGTATACTTTTATTTTTTTGCTGTCATGCTGTGAGTAAGCCTATTGGGTCAGGTGCGGGCCTTGTGGGAAATGTAGTCCATAGTGAGAGCTGACTGATATCGTGACAGTCAAGATCACGCCTGCCCTTTCTGATTCATATTGACTATAACTCTCAGTGTATGTTTGAGAGGCAATTTATGGACACTTTGTGTTTGTCAGTAAGGAGAGGAAACAGCTTGTTGCACTGTTGCAGATTTTATTTGTACTGTATAAGAAAGCTCATGAAATGGAGGAAGCGCTTTAGGTTCTTTATTAACCTTGTCAACTCAATTTTATAGTCACATAATGACAAAAGCCACAAGCCAGACTTGGCTTACAGTACAAATGGCTTGTTTTTTGTGGAGTGTTGCATGTAGATGTCTAGTTAATATGAGGCTTTCACACTGTGGAGGCTGTTTCTAGAGAGAGCAGCGTGAGCAGTTCAGATGGAGCTGCCTGCCGTTTTAGTAGTCCAAAAACACCTACCTGCCATTTCACTAAAAACATTTTTGAGTTTCAGCAGTCTATATGGCTGCATCCTATTAGTTAAAGCTGTTTTAATGAGCTTTAAATGAATTTTTAGGATGTACCTTGAACAAGAATGTCTTTGTAGGTGTGCCATATATACTGCATTTAGGAGATGAATATGTCTGTGTGGTCAACCCATGTCTAAACATTCTCCACTGGATCAAAACAGACTCCTTTAACAAAACAATATTATTCATATTTTTATTTTATTCAACAAGGAAGCATTATGCTTGGCCAAATTTTCAAATAGTTGTATCTCGACCAAATATTCTCCTATCCTAACAAACCATACATCAATGGAAAACTTATTTATTCAGCTTTCAAATGATGTATACATCTCAATTTTGAAAAATTGACCCTTATGACTGGTTTTGTGGTCCAGGGTCACATACATTAAAATAGAAAACAGCTCAATTTAAATTGCAAGAATATTTCACATTTTCACTGTTTTAAATAAATGCAGCCTTGGTGAGCATAAAAGACTTAAAAAACATTACAAAATGTTACCAACCCCAAACTTTTGAACAGTAGTACAATGGTACTTTTGGCACTTTTGGTACTCCTAAGCATCCATCAGATTTTACTGTAAAATTTAAATATTCGTTAACTCACAAGAGAGAATATCCTGAGAACATCTGGTTCATATGGTGTGTGCGGTTAAAGATGTCCAAACTGAAGTACTGACTTTTAACAACTTTTTGCCAGTGAAGTCATCTGAATTTCTTATTACGGAGGTCATTCAGATGAGATATGGTGTAGATTAGTCTTATCTGACTCACTATTGTTATCTGGAGTCAGAGTGAGTAGGAGTTTCAGGTGGAGACTCGCACTGGAGTGTCACTCCGTTCTCTCTCAATAATTCAGCTTGGAAACTAGTCACAATGACTCCACTGCATGGAGCGGCAGGCCTACTGACAGAGCACAGGCCGCCAGGCCAGAGCATGCCACATGATGAACTTGCACACTAAATTATTCACGCACACAGATACATGTAATTCCGTCAGTTTGCTTTCAAACCCTTTTTTTGTGTCTTATTCTGATCTACAACTCAGGACCACCTACTGGGGTGTTTCTTTTTCTGCTTTGTTCCTAAAATTAATTGGCACTCAGATTGGTCTTTAGCTATCACAAAGTAATTATCTTTTCTGGGGTTTTCATTAGCTCTTATTCCCAAAGTTAAATTTGAATCTGCACGTTTATGAATTGCTCTCTCAGTATGTTCAGTGAATTCAATGTAGTTTATTTAGCTATAGCTAGCTTTATGAACTGATTGCTTACTGATTGCATCGTGCCTGTTATGGAATGTGTAGTATAAAATAGTTCCAGTCCTGGCTTCTTAAATCCATGATAAAGTAACAGTTATGAGCTGATACTCCCTCCATGGATCGTTATTCTTTTTATTTTTGATTCATTAATTTTTTATATAACAGTGTTGTGTTAACTAATAGGCCAAATTCACATGAATTGGTATATAACTGTAATGTGTGCACATATATATATATATATATATATATGTGTGTGTGTGTGTGTGTGTGTGTGTGTGTGTATACTCTAATTACTTTGGACCACCTTTAGCTTTGATTACGGTAAAAAATTAACACGGAAAATAGGGGATACGTCTTCCGACGTGTTTGAGAAATAAAAACACACTGCATTCATTAGGGTTAAAAGAATTGTTGCCAAAAAAACAACATGCCAGAAGCATATTAATCACTGCAATAATGATCCAGTTCTAGACTCTTAAACTTTTGCTTATTTAAATCTATATATGATGTTGTCTTCATCGTTATATTCTGTCGGGATTACTTAATATTGTTGTGAGTTTATGCTTGAAATAATAAGCCTATAGCATGTATTAATCTCATGACATTATACCCCGCATTCAGGCATGTATTATAACTAATCCTGCCCGATTAAAATGATGAAACTAAAACATCATTTATTTCCAAGACTACATTGTATACAATATACATTATTCACAATCTTTGCATTAATCTGCAGTAAGCAGAGTGACTATGAAATGTGCAACACCATATACATATAGCATACATGTTGTTATATAACATATAACAACGATATATGCTACTACTAATGGGTTTTATAATACTGTGCATATTTATAGATTTTAAGATGATTGAGACAGGAGCATATGCGAGTGAGTACGATGAAATATTATTGATATTATTGAGAGATGGCAGAAGTGTTGCCGTTTATGATAGATGTCGACAAACATATACACGTCCAGGCTGCGAGCGGTCTGGCTTCTCAGTATGTATCAGCGGATCCGATGTGTGTGTGAGAAAGGAGCTGCTAGCCGATGATTTCCCCGGCACATCGTGAAAAGCACTGAAGTTTTCACATCGAGTATGATAATGCACAGCCACAAAAAAAAAAATATATATATATATATATATATATGTATACAGTATATATATATAATAAAAAAGACAGAGAAAATCATATAATCAAGTTAAGCGCCATCATTTAGAATACATTCTTAAATTTTGAGCTTTGTAGTCTCACCAATAAATCACCAAGACAGTTCCAACATTTTCATGATATTTAATTTGTGGACTGGTTCTTGTTAGGCTCAGCCATCGCTGTTACTGGAAATAAGTTAACCCAGCGTAGGTCAATCCGAAAGCCAAAACCCAGAAGTGTGAAATTGGCCAATGGGGCTGAACAGGATGCTCAAGCAAATAGAGCTTTGAAAGCACCACAAAGATAAAGTTGTTATGTTTCCATCCAGTAACATGATATTTATGATAAGCATCTAGGAATACACTACTGTTTAAAGTTTGGGGTTGTTAAGATTTTTAAATGTGTTCAGTTGTGCTTCTTAATATTTTTGTGGAAACTATAAAAAAAAATTTCAGGATTCCTTGAATACAAAATTCAAAAGAATAGCATTTATTTGAAATATAAATATTCTGTAACAATATAATTCTTCACTGTCACAATTTAATGCATCCTTGCTGAATAAAAGTATTAATTTCTTTAAAGAAAATCGACACTCAACTTTTGAACAGTACTGTATATACAGTAAATAAATAAAAAATGTTTTTATGGAAATTTTGAATAAAAATTGTATTTGTGTTATATCCCAAAATGTGCATAAAATGTATGTAACTAATGGTTAATTTTTTAGGCAAATCACCCTAATGTCTTGTACTTTCTTTGTGTTTTAACGTTGAAAAATAGCACACTTGAAGCAGTCTTATTATGACCTCAGTGACTGAAATCCACTTTGAACGCCTGGCATTCCTTACTCATGAATTAAACATCAGTCACATGCCCATCCTGTGCCATGGCAACCTGTGCGTATGTGTGTAACCATGGTGATGTATTAGCCATGAATACTCATCAGAAGAAAGTGTGAGCAAAGGTTGAACAACAGAAATAGAGAGCTCTCTCCTTCTATCAAGAGTAGTGTGATAATTCGTTCAGCTTGTTGTATTCTCTACTGTACTTCACCTGTGTAGTCAGAGAAGAGATATTGCAGCCAGCCAGCCATCCAGAGCGCATGGAGAGATAAATGTAACAGTGGAGTTATAGTCGAGTGAAAACAAAGGCATGGGGGTTCTTTATATAGCACACCTTTCGGCCAGGTGCTGGGTTCCAGCTGGTATTCATGTTTTATTGATAAGGTTTGCTTCTTTATTAAGCCCCTTGTATATGGGCAGTCATCCAACAAGAGTTAATAATGCTACACATGGGAAACACTGTGTGCTCAGAGTTTGATCATTCGACTTTAATTCCAAGCTGTGTGGCAGAATGTAGACATGTAGCAAGCTGGAGAGATTTTTAAAAGAAAGAATTCAACCCAAACTAACAAAAAATGTGTCATTTGCTCACCATAATCTTGTTCCAAACCCTTTTTATTAAATCCATGGGTATAAATATTTTACATTGTCCAACCTTTTCATAATGGAGACTAGAGCTGTGAAGCTCAAAAACATTTTTCAAAACACCATAAAGCCATAAGGCTTGTATGCTGCATTATAAGTTTTCTGAAGCCGTGCATTCATTTTGTATGAGGGGAAAACACCAAAATATTCACTAATTAAAACATTTCTCCCTTTGCAGTAGCTTTCAAGTGTCATTCAGTTCAAATATGATGCATTATTATGCCTCATTCCTGTCCACATTTGTTGTTGTTGTGTGGAAAAGAACACTGGAAATTGTGCACTTCCATTCAGAAGTTTGGGGTCAGTATTTATTTATTTATGAAAGAAAAAAAGTAATACTTTTGCTCAACAAGAATTCATTACATTTATCAGAAGAGCTACAGTGAAGGCATTTATAGTGTTACAAAAGATTTCTATTTCAAAGAATGCTGTTATTTAACATTTTCTATTCATCAAAGAATTCAGTAAAATGTATCACAGTTTCCACAAAAATATTAAGCAGCAAAATGTTTTTCATAACATTGAAAATAATAAGAAACATTTCATGAGCACAAAATCAGCATATTAGAATTTGTTTAAGGATCATATGACATTGAAGACATAATAGCCGCTGAAAATTCAGCGTTGCCATCACAAGAATAAATTACAGTTTAAAAAATATTCAGATAGAAAATAGTTATTTTAATTTGTAATACTATTTGACAATATTGCTGTATACATACTGTAAGACACGCCTTTCAAGAACATAAAATAATTCTTACCGACACAAAACATTTTAGTGGATATCATTAAATGTGATTGTACGGAAACAAGAAAGTCATATGGGTTGGAAGTAATTAATATATAAATTCAAATTTTTGGGTGAAATATTCCTTGAATGTGTTAAATGAGCATGTGGTTGATTTTTGATTTTTAGTAGTGTACAGACATTCATTCAGGTCACTCACTGAGATCTTGATCTGATGCCACGTTTCACTGATCTCCTTATTAGCTGAGATATATTATGTGCTGGAGGCGATATCTGCGGCTGACACTGAAAAATTGACAAAATGGGTTTGCATAGTGTTAGATCATCATAATGTGATCTGTGTTTGTAGACATTTCTGCCATGTCATTCCTCTCAAATTCACTGTAATGTGTTTGTGCATGCTTACCATCACTATAGTAATGTAAATCATGCTCCCTCTTATTCTGTCTCTCTACCCACCTGTCTGTCTATTTCTGTCTGCTGGCTGATATAGAGGAATAGTCCGGTAAGCTGTTTATACTTTGTCTAACTCTTTTGGAGTGACATCTTCTCACGTTTCTCATATGGCATGGTGAAGGTTGCATGCTCTGTGTTTGATATGCCATTAAGAACTGACCTAAGGTCAGTTTGGGTGTTTAGGGATGGACTGGTGGGTGCTGAAATGGACAATATCCTGTAGAGATGTGTACAGGCTATACTGTGTACTGTACATGCATGGACAGGATACAAAATAAGTTTGTAGTTTCACCATGAGACTGAGAATTGATTAAGTAATATAATCTGACTACTTTTTGATTATTTTTGAATACTTGTTTTGACCTAACACATTTATCGCATTGATTTGAATAGGATAATCTTGTACCATATTGATATAGAAATAAAAAGAGAAAGAAAATACATTCTGTTCTTTATTATCAATGACATGAGGTGCATTAAACATTGGCCTACATTATATTATATTAACTGCAGGGGGTTCGTAAGTTGATGACAAGCTAGTAATAAATCAAATCATAAATATGTATAATTAAATACATTAAAATAAATCATAATAAAGTCTGAATGTATTTTAAAAAATTATTTAAAAAAGAATTAACTATAATAAATTATCAATAATTTACTGCCATTGTGTGAATAACATGTAATCAATATTAAAGTAACTGTAACCTGATTAGCAGTATTTTAAAACGTAACATAATCTAATTACAAGTAATTCATTTCTGGAATCTGATTATGAAATCCAGATTACAATTAAATTACTACCCAGTATTGTACAGTATATTAAAATGTGCTTATATGTGCTTGGATCCTGTGCTTGTACATTAGTTTTTTTTAGGTGTACGATGAATTTTGATTATGTTCTTTTGCATCTGGTGTTTATGCAGTTTCACTTCAAAAATGTTGAACTGTTTATTATTTGAATTAATTGGCAGCCTTAGTCATCAGCCCAACTCTTACATTAAAGTGTTTGGTTGCATGCCAGTCTTTCGGTTAGTCTACTCTTGGCTCTGATTGGTGGTGACCATTGCTTACAACCTATAGGATTAGACTGCCACTGGTACATCACCCTAATCACTCAGAACTCTTGAGCCAGACTGAACTCAGACCCTCGTTCCTGGACTTAATCCTATCTAGGAAGAAGGGAGGAATAGGGAAAAAAAGAAATATGAGGTTAAATTGGAGTGAGCAAGAATGTATGTCCATAGAAAATGAACTTTCATGTCATTTCATTTCCATTCTGATTGTGAATTTGGTGCGGAGGTGTCATGACCACAATTTTTTTGTTTGACGTATCTTTGCAATCTCTTCGTAGTGACTCGTGAGCAGTACATACTTTCTATGCTTTTAGATCCTCTGAAGACTAAACAGTGCTGAGACAAGCAGCACTGCACAGGTGCAACGTTGGCAATATATGCATAAATACCACTCTCTCTCTCTCTCTCTCATTCAGCTCAGCTCCAACAATGAACTGTTCCAATTATACACTTATTTTCACATAGCTATGAGATGCGTTAAACATGGACATGCGTGCAGTTGCCATACTGTATTAAAGTTTTAATCAGGATAAAATCGTATTTTAAAAGCTAACATAAGCAGTAGCATTTACAAATAACAGCGTATCTAAAAGTATGAGACAACAACAAACAAAAAACATAGGCCTACCATTAAAAGCCG